GATCGGCCTATGTTTTCTTCGGACCGTCGCAGCAACCGAATCTTCACCTATGACTTGTCTTCGAACACCCGCATGGTGCGGTTGCTTGACGAGTTCGCCGATGTTTTCGAGTCTCCTGCCGGTGTGGTGCCGGATTGGCCGATCTCCCATGAGATCATTCTTGATGTCAGTGCCATGCCACCACAAGGATGCATCTATCACATGAGCGAGGAAGAGCTCACGGTTCTCCACACGCAACTCGATGTCGTGTTGGAAAAGGGGTGGATCCGCCCTAGTAGCTCACCATACGGTGCGCCGGTTCTCTTCGTAAGGAACAAGAACAAGGATCTTCGCATATGCATTGATTATCGCAAGCTCAACGTGCAAACCGTCAAGAATGAAGGGCCTCTTCCTCGTATCGACGATCTTCTTGAGCGTTTGGGCTGCGCGAAATACTTTTCGAAGTTGGATTTGAAGTCGCGCTATCATCGAATTTTGGTACGCCCGCAAGATCGCCACAAATTCGCATTTAAAATGCGGTACGGGCACTTTGAGCGGGTTGTCATGCCTTTGGGCCTCACCAATGCCCTAACGACCTTTCAAGCGACAATGACCAACGAGTTTCGAGTGATGCTGGACCGATTTGTGCTGGTCTACTTGAACGACGTTCTCGTCTATTGTCGGACCTTGGACGATCATCTCAAGCACCTTCAACGTGTGTTGGAGACGCTCCATCGCGCCAAGTACAAAGCCAACCGCAAAAGTGTGAGTTCATACGTCAAAAGTTGGAATACTTGGGCCATTTTGCCACACCAGCGGGCATTAGTCCGTTATCGGCCAAGATTCAAGTCGTCCAAGAGTGGTTGGGACCGAAGAATGTCACGAAAGTCCATTGGTTTCTCGACCTAGCCGGCTACTATCAACGCTTTATCAAAGCCTATTCGAAGATCGCGGTTAATTTGACCAAGCTTCAATGTGAGGATCAGTTGTTCTACTTCGGCGACAATGCGCGGGCTTCCTTTTTGGCCCTCAAAGCCGCCTTGCTATCCGCGGAGGTTTTACGCATCTACGACCCGCTTTTGCCGATGCAAGTCACTATCGATGCGTCCGACTATGGCATCAGTGTCCTCCTTGAGCGACACGATGGCGAGGACTGGCACCCGATCGAGTACTTCAGTACGAAGGTGCCCATCGTGCACTCGATTGACGACCCACGAAAGGAGGAGTATTTGGCCTTCGTACACGCGCTTAAGCGGTGGCGACACTTTCTTCTCGTCCGAAGTCAATTCCGATGGGTAACGGATAACAATCCGTTGGTCTTTTATAACACCTGTTGGATGGCTTTCATTGACCAGTTTGACTTCTTTCCCGATCACATTCCGGGAAAGTCAAACCGTTTTGCGAACGCCCTTTCACGACGCAACAACCTCTGTACAGTCGTCTACTTGACGTTCGAGGTTGACGACGACTTAAGATACAGCTTCATCTGCGGTTACCAAGTCGACCTCGAGTTTCCCGACAAGTACGCGAATTGCTCCTCTCCAAATCTGGTCCCATCAAACTATCGAATCCAAGAGGGCTATGTGTTGGTCCACTCGCGGGGGAAGGATCTTCTTTGCATGCCAAGTGATCCACACTTGTGTACGAGGCTTCTCTGCGAGTTCCACAATGCTCCCGCGACTGGACACTTTGGAGTCCACGAGCGCTTTTGGTGGCCCGGCCTTCTCGGCAA